CTTATTCTTCTTCTTAGGCAGTGCTTTGCTTATCCTGGGTCTATTTCCTTTCCATATAAAGTTTGTAATTGTGTTTTCCATCTCTTTGAAGAATGTCATTGGAATTTGGATTGGGATTGCATTATATGTGTAAATTGCTTTGGGCAATATTGACATTTTCACAATGTTAAGTCTTTCTATCCAGGAGCATGGTACATTCTTCCATTTTTGTAGGTCTCTTTTGGTTTCTTGTAGTAATGTTTTGTAGTTTTCTTTGTATAGGTCTTTTGTTTCTTTGGTTACATTTATTCCTAGATATTTCATCCTTTGGTTGGCTATTGTAAATGGTATTGCTTTCTTAATGTCCTTTTCAATGCTGTTATTTTTGGTATAAAGGAATCCAGCTGATTTTTGTATGTTGATCTTATATCCTGCCACTTTGCTGAATCTTCCAATGAGGTCTAGTAGCCTTTTTACTGAATCTTTGGGATTTTCTATGTACTGGATCATATCGTTTGCAAGTAGAGAGAATTTTGCTTTCTCTTTGTCAATTTGGATGCCTTTAATTTCTCTGTCTTGACGTATAGCTCTTGTTAAGACTTCCAGCACTATATTGAATGGGAGTGGTGACAAAGGGCGTTCTTGTCTGGTTCCTGTTCTTAGCGGGAAGGCTTTCAGTTTCTCTCCATTGAGAGTAATGTAGGCTGTTGGTTCTGTATATATGCTCTTAATTATGTTGAGGTATTTCCCTTCGTTTCCTACTTTGTTGAGTGTTTTTATCAGGAATGGATGTTGGATTTTGTCAAGTGCTTTTTCTGTATCAATCGTTAGGATCATGTGGTTCTTATACTGCCATTTTTGTTTTGGGTTTTTCATGATGATCTTTATTTGAAGATGTATCTTCTGTCACTGTAGCTGTTCCAGGCTGATCTGCTTGTCCTTTCTAGCGGGAATGTCCCACCTCATAAGGTTCTGGATGGGACTCGGGATTCCACCTAAGGTCTGATACTTTGCAAAGGCTCTGCAAAAAGTCTATTTAACTGGGCAACTTCTAGAACCCCTTTTAGGTATTCCAATCAGTTATAGGCTGAAGACGGGCTTACAAGTTTTCTGTAATCATGTTTCCTGACATTCCTTTCTATCCCACTAAAGTGTCTGTTTTACAATAGTAGGCAAGGGGAACCAATATTCATAAGACAGTCAAGCATCGTAGTATTTTTTTCCCTCTTCAAACTATGCCTAGATCCCTGTATCCCAGAGCCCTGTTGTTCCAAGGTTGAACATGCATCACTATTTACCTCTGTCCCACTTAGGACATGCAAACCTGTCCCAGTGTTCCCTTGTCTACCTTGTTCTTCCACTTCTTCCCCTTTTCTTGCATTGCCTTCCCCCACATACGAACTATGATGTGTCTGCCCTTACCCTGTGCTCTACCGTTGCCTCCCTCCACCTTTCCCTAAACCTTTCACCCCAAACCTACTGTTGTGGTTACCTTATATTCTATTCACTTTCCCCTCCATTTAAGACAGTTTATTTTATCCTATAATTTAACTGACTGTCTCACCACCTCTATCTCTGTTCCTCTGTGTTTACCTTCTTTCATATTGTAATTATTTAGATCATAGACTGGCCTCCCAAATCCTCTGAATTTGTTCTTATAGTTTTATTTTGTTCTTGACTCTTCCGTTTGTCGATTGAGTTCAGGGTGATACTGCCACGTACATCATTCTCTGATTTTTCTCTATTCTTGTTGGTTCTCTGTTCACAGAACTCCCTTAAGAATATTTTTCATTGCAGGGTTGGCTTTGTCAAAATTTCTTAGCTTCTGTTTGTCCTGGAATGTTTTGATTACATCATCGTATTTGATTGACAACTTTGCTGGGTAGAGGATTTTTGGTTGTCAGTTTCTTTCTTTCAGGGTTTTATATATGTGTCTCCATTGCCTTCTTGCCTGCATGGTTTCTGTTGAGAGATCTGAGCTTAATCTGATTTACTTGCCTTTGTATGTTACACTTCTTTTTTCCCTAGCTGCTTTCAGGATTCTGTCCTTTGATTTTGGAGAGCTTGATTATCATAGGTCTAGGTGAATTTCTTTTAGGGTCTATCCTTTCTGGGGTTCGTTGAGCTTCTTAAATGCTTATCTTTTCACTTTTAGCATGTTAGGGAAATTTTATTCCAGCAGCTCTTCAACTATCTCCTCTGTGGACTTGTGTGATTCTTCCTGTTCTGGAATGCAGATAATTCTTAATTATTCCTCTTCATGTTTTCCAACATGATGAGTCTTAGGCCTTCTTCAGATTTTTTAATCCTTTTTTCTGCTTGTTCTTCTATCTTAGTAGTGTTGAGAGATTTGTCTTCCAGCTCACTAGTTCTGTCTTCTATCTCTTCAGTTCTAATCCTTTGCCCTTTCAGTGTATTGTCCATTTCTAATATTCTATTATTAATCATTTGGACCCCTTTCTGTAGGTTTTTAATTGTTTCCAATTCAGTATCTCTGTTATTTGATTGTTCCTTTCTATCTCTTCAATTCCACTATACCCTTTCAGTGTAATGTCCATTTCTGATATTCTATTATTAATCATTTGGAACCCTTTCTGTAGGTTTTTAAATGTTTCCAATGCAGTATCTATCTTATTTGATTGTTCCTACAGTGCTTTCCTGACTTCTTCCTTATTTTTCTCAACTCCATTATATGGTGTTTTGTTATATTTTATAATCATTTTTCAGAATTCCTTCTTTCTGGAGCCTTCCCAAAGGCTTCCCATCTTGCTTTATGGAGTGTAGGTCTACCTCCAGCTCATTTGTGTCAGTCATTTTATCTCATTTCTGGAAATGTGTTGATATCATTGTCTGTTTCTGGTTTGGGGGCATATTCAGCAGTTAGCTGTGGCCTTAATACTTAAGAGTGTGTGTTTTGGTATTTTTTATGCTTTCTGATTGCCTCCAGGTAGATGTGATCAGGAGATGGGCTTCCCTTTTCTCTCTTCTTCCTGAGAAATTTCAAGATGTCATTGTTGGCTGTTATGACATAACTCAGAATTTAATTTTCAGCCTGTTTCCTTTTTAGTCTGCCTGCCTCACCTCACAACGCCCCCGTTCAGGCCTTTTTCCTAGTGGTAAACAGTTCAGGGCCAGCTGTGGCCATTTTGCGCTACCATTTGGTTTTAAGTGGAAACTGTCCCTTTAAATTTTGAAGAGAACTGTGTGCATGTGTAATAGAACCCTCTGGGGGTGGGGTGGGGTGTCCACTTACTCAGGCACCCCCTCTAGTCACCAGAATTGAGGCGCACAAACAGCGAGAGACCAATGAACAGATAAAAAACATCCACACTTTTATCTTTGCATTTTTGTCAGGCATCCATGTCTGCTCTGATCCTTCCCCTGCTTGGTCTCGCCCAAGATGGCCATTCAGGGAACAGCTGAGCGCCTTGGATTAGAAAGCACTGGATTTCTGGCTTCTGCTACAAATTCCACTAGCTATAGACCTTCCAACTTTCTAAGTATTACTTTATATGTGGGTCAGAGTCCTGAGAACATCCCCTGAGCCTGCTTGGTCTGTTAGTCTGTGTTGTTGCTGACAGAGCTCTTCATTGCACTTCTACCCAATCCATTATCTTGTTTGTTCTCCTGTTTTGTTTTTTAATTATTCTTTTTCTAGTTTTTGATTTGTCTTTATGTGTCCAAAGTAAGCAAAACAGTATTACCATCTTTGATTCTGTTGTTGGTGTTGTCAAGTGCTTTAGAATTGCTCCTGACTAATACTGACCCTGTACAGGGTTTCTGCGGTGCATCTGGTGGGTTTGAACTGCTTATCTTTTGGGTCACAGTCCAGTGCTGATCCCATAGCGCACCAGCAGTCAACCTTTGATTCTAAAAAAGTTATATTTCTTCTAAGACTGATGTGTTCATTTTTCTGGCAGCCCATGATATTGTCAATATTTGTTACCAACATCACAATTAAGATGCATTAATTCTTCTGTCTTTTTTCATTTTCCAATTTTCATATATATATGAGGACAATGAAAATACTATAGCTTGGGGCAGGTACACTCAGTCATCAAAGTGACTTTTTAGAACTCCTGATGTGGCAATATAGGATAAGCATTGTACTGCTAGCCTCTGGGTTGGTAGTTCAAACCTACCAGCCACTCCTCAGAAACCTTATGCTAGCTTGCTCTGACTCAGAATTGACTCCCCACCACTTTAAAACAACAAAATATATAAAATACTCATCTGATCAATAAAATTTGGGATTTCACACTATATTAATGACACACACACAAATATACAAAGCTCTGGATTATATCCTGTGCACTTATAGTGTGGCACAATGCATTTATGTTTTAAGCTCATAATATGAATTGCCGCTAGCTTAGCGTGGATGTAAGAATCTGTCTGTTTTTATCTTTCATTAGGAAAATCTAACAATCAAGGTAGTTGATGTGATTTTGAACATATTGTCTTATTTTTTTCATTCCAGATGTAATCCCTGCTGTGGAACTACGGAACATCTTTGATAAGTGGAACCATTGATGCTTGTATTTTATACAATAGATACGACATCAATTTAAAGCCAGTGTTTGTGTGGTTTGGACTCACCTGCTATAGTTCATGAAGCTTGAATCTAAGGAGTACAGGGACTTTTGCAATGACAATATGACTAATAGTAAAGGAAGATTTATTTCCAGTAAAACAAGTGGTGGTCCAAGTAGTGGGGGAGGTTTTGTAGATTGGACTTTAAATTTAAATACAATTCAGTCTGATAAGTTTTTAAATTTACTGTTGAGTATGGTTCCAGTCATTTACCAGAAAAATCAGGAAGACAGGCATAAAAAACCAAATGGAATTTGGCAAGATGGGTTATCAGCTGCAGCACAGACTTACAGTAATAGATCCGAGCCACACAAAGAATATCACAATTTCCCAGAACAGTCTTTTCATGGCAATACTGGGCACACCCCATCAAGCTGTAGCCCAAAGTACGACGACTATGCCAACTATAATTACTGTGATGGAAGGGAGACTTCAGAAACAACTGCCATGTTACAAAATGAAGATAATTCCAGTGATGGGGATGAAGACACCATTGTGGAAACAAACCAAAAATTGCCAAAGGAATCCAGTGGAGTCATGGCGTTGCAAATACTTGTGCCGTTTTTGCTAGCGGGCTTTGGAACCGTTTCCGCTGGCATGGTTTTGGATATAGTACAGGTGGGTGCTCATCTTTACTTAGCATTGTTATCTTTTTTGATATCCCATTTCTGTTGGAAAATGCTTTAGATAGGTTATTTAGCTCAAGTATCCATTTAGATTTCATTTATTCCTTAGGGAAATAAATGAATGCTGGTTCTGCTCTGAGGTCCTTCTCTCTGTCTCTCTTTTTTTTTAGGGTTATACTTAGATATGTCTACTTTCAAATAATTAAATAAACCTTTATTATTATTATTATTATTATTGTTGTTGTGAATTGAGTGAAGGTTAACAGACAAATCATTACTTTTACATTTAACATCCTTTTCTTTAAAGAAGTTATAGAATAATAGTTTCATTCTCTGTATAAAGTCGTTTTTCTCTACAGGCCCAAAATTGATACATTGGTCAAAAACAAACAAACACACCCACACAAATAACCCAATAGATGTTACATTAAAATATTTCTTTATTTTCAAAGAAAAGGTGAATATATACTTGTTAAAAAGCTTTCAAACAATAAAGAAGAGTATTACATTTCAAAAAGTTTCTCTTTATTCCTCATTTCTAAACCAAAACCCCCCTCCACTCAGAGATTGCCAGTCTTCATCTTGTGTTATATATGTATAGATGTATTTCTACATGCTTTTCCAATGCTTACATCAACATGAATGTATGGATTTTTTTTCAAAAACAAAAATGAAATGCTACAAGTATTTTTTTAATTTCTTTTTATTGCTTAGCAATACATCTTTGATATTTTTCCAGATTGGTACATAAACATTTTCAGCATTTGAAACTGAGTTTTTATTCCCTTGTTTGTATAATCCAAAATTTACTTACCCATTATTTCATGATGATGTGTTACTAAATATCCCTATAAATGTATCTTACATATTTGCACTAGTATTTTTATAGGTTAGATTTTAAAAATAGGATTGCTGTCTTAAGGTATATGGGCATTTAAAATTTTGTAGATGCTGTCAGATTGCTTTCTAAAAAGTTTGTACCAATTTGTACTTTTAGCATCAATATATAAGCATTTATATTAATCCATACCATTATCAATGTTGGATATTCTCAATCTTTGTCACTTTACCAATCTAACAGGAAAATGTTGTTTTGTTTCAGTTAACTTCCTTTAGTTACTATTAGCATTTAGCAGCTTTTAATATGTTAATTGGGCATACTGCCTAGTCTGCCATCATAGTGGAAGATGTCATCTTACAATTCATTAGGTCTTCAGTCGTTAGTGTTCAGTGAGTCAACTCTAGAGATGATCACTAAATTTAGATGGAATAGACTCAAGGTCGTACTTTGGCTCTTGTGGACATAATTTTTTTTCAGCTTCAGTATTGAATTGCCAACATTATATCATTATCTGTCGTGATGTGCTGTAGAGTTGGTTCGGTCTCATAGCGACCCTGTACACGGTTTCCGAGGCTATAAACCTTTACGGGAGCAGAAAGCCTAATCTTTCTCCAGTGGAACAGCTGGTAGTTTCGAACTGCTGACCTTAAAGTTCATAGCCCGATTCGTAATCACTATGCTACTAGAGCACCTTTCCTACACTGTATACTTATTGCTTATTATGGTGGTGTGCATATGTGTCTATTCTGTGCCCGGCACATAGTAGAATCACAATAAAATGATTGTGTGAGATACTGTTCACCATCCTGTAGTAGATTGTTATTTTCTTAACTATTGCCCTTCTTCTGTAAGACGATTCTTCATACATGCTCTTTGTCAGGTGACCGAAAATGCCATCCTGTAAACTTTCTCACTTGTTAGCCTTGTCCATAGGCTTGCTCAGGCCAATGAGACATGAACATATATCACAGAAACCATATTGAAGCAGAAGCTTTGCAAAATGTAATTGGTCTGGCTTGACTCTTTCTCCTGTGTTCTATCTAAGGAATACTGACTGCTTGCACATGGAACCCAGAGAGAGAAGACATGTGAAACTTGAGCTTAGCAGAGAACTGCAGCTCATAGTTCTTATGTAATGCAGTGAGAAATAAATAATGGTTGTTAGCCACTAAGCATTACACATCATAATACAATGAGAACTGGTTAATATACTTTCTTATTGAAACTCTTTTATTTGTTGTAGCATGTTCTCTGTAGCTCTTCTGCCTTTATTATTTCTCTTGATTTTTCTTCTTTCTGTTAGAAAAGTAGGCATTCTCCAGGTAGGATAGCTACAGGAAACAAACTGAGATGGGGAGGAGCTTCCTTATTTTGATTTATTTTTTTGTTATATGCCGTGGAGTCGGTTCCCACTCATAGTGCCCTGATAGGGTTTCTGAGGCTGTAAATCTCTACGGAAGCAGAAAGCCTCATCTTTCTCCCGCAGAACAGCTGGTAGTTTCGAACTGCTGACCTTAAGGTGAGCAGCCCGATTCATAACCACTACGCTACCAGAGCTCCTTAGAATTAGGAGATGAATAAACTTCCCGGAAAGTCTGCTTATAGGAAGCAAGCTGGAAGATTAGAAAAGTCTAGCTGAATGAAAGGTTCTAAAATCTTTACCGGAAGGTACTCAGGAAGGTGGAATTGAGTATATCAGTGCTCACATTTCCAGAAACAAACAAAAAACCAAACCCAAAACCCACCACAAAATCAAACCTACAAAACCTGAGAGTGGCCCTGGTCGTTTTGTGGGAAGGATGGCTTTCAAAGCCATTCTCTTGTACCAGAAGAGTATCCTCAGGAAAGATCAAGAAACACAACTGCTCTTTGGGTCATGTTCCTTCATTCCCTGGGTTAAAGAAAGAGGCTCAGGAATAATCACCTGGAAATACTTCCTACCAGGATCAGACTGAGATAAACCACACCATATCCTAGGACCAAGAACTAGAAAACCTCGTTTTTAAAAACCTCAATTACTTTACTTCCTCAAGTCACTGCTAAAAATGTGTCATTAGAGCTTTTGGTCAAAAGAATCAAAATAATTATTTTGATTGGTAGTAGGCAAAATAATGGTCTCCCAAAGATGTCCATGTCTTAAACCTAGAATCTGTGAATTGTTATTGTTGTTAAGTGCCATCAAGTCGGTTCTGACCCATAGCGACTCTGTACGGGGTTTCCAAGGAGCAGCTGGTGAGCTTGAACTGCCAACATTGCAGTTCAAATGGCTTTGCAGCGCCACACCAGGACTCCATATGCTATGCTATATGACCAGGGGAATTTTAGGCTACAGATGTAACCCAGGTTGTTTATCAGTTGACCTTTAGATGGGGATTATCCCTGATTACCCAGATAGGTCCAATGTAATTGTTTTTGTGTGTCGTTCAATGGTTCCTGACTCATAGCAACCCTAGACTGTCCCGTAGGGTTTTCCTTAAGGACAGCTGCCAGCAGGTCTTTTCTCCTGTGGAGCACTGTAGGATTGCACTGCTGACCTTTTGGTTAGCAGCTGAACACTTTACCACTGTGGCAGCTGGGCTTCTTCATGTGATCATAAGGGCCCCAATGAGTGAAAGATGGCGTCATTGGTGTGTGTCGGAGTGATACTGCTTGGGAACGCCTTGACCAGCCATTGCTCTGGAGATGAAAGGAGCAAAACAGGCTGTGTCTAGAAAACGCAAGGAAACAGATTCTTCCCTGGAGCCTGTATTAGGACATTAGCCCAGTGAGACTTTCTTAGACTTCTGGCCCCCAGAGCTGTAAGATAATAACATATTTGTGTGCTATTTATGATAACAGTAATAGAAGCAAACAGTGTGATTACTAAGTTTTGTATGAACTGGTTCACCGCTATCATTCCAAACTCATCTTACTTAGTTCACTTAACACCATGTTTATTGTGTTTCAGTGTCACTGGTCTGTTTTTACTTCATCAAAAGTCCATTAGTCTTTCATGTCTTATGGCCTTTGTCTAGAATATTCTTTTTCCCATTCAGAATTCTAATTCCATTTTAGATGTCATCTTAAGAGTCACTTATCCCCTCATCAAATTAGATCACTAATTTAACTCTCAGATTGGACATTTGTGTGGCATTGTAGAATAAGTACTAGACTGTTAACCTTAAAGTCAGCAGTTCAAACCCAGCAGCTGCTCCTTGAAAACCCTATACAGGGTCGCTATGAGTTGTAACTGACTTCTACTTGTTAGGTGCTGTCAAGTTGGTTCTGATTCATAGCAACCCTGTGTAGGGTTTCCAAGGAATGGCTGGTGAGCTTGAACTACTGACCTTGTGGTTCAAACAGACCTTGTGGCCCAACACATTAATCTGCAGAGCTACACCAGCACTTAACAACAACAAATCCCCTAATTAAATCAGGTCACTATTTTGACTCTCATATTTGACTTTTGTCCCAGTGGAGACATCCTTTTTTTTTGTTTTTCTTTTTCCAATCACTATATCCATAGCAGTGTTTCTGACAATGGAGTACATGTTTAGTAAATATGTATTTGTTGAATGAATATTTAACAGTCACCATGTACTGAAGGCCTGCTATGGGCCAGCACTACCACTCTGCCTCTTACCAGTGGCATCTCATGTAATCCTTTCAAGGAAACTTTGGAGTAGATATTTTTTCTTCCTTTTATACAATAGGGAATTGCATATTAAGTCCCAGAACTCAGTCTTGGATCTTGGTTTAATTTCAGTACTGCTCTTTTTAACCACTGGGCATTATGTGATTCTTTTTTACCCCCAGTCAGTTATAGTTTCATGACAACTCCATGTGTTACAGAGTACAACTATTCCTTAGAGTTTTCTGGGCTGTGCTCTTTATTGTTGAACTTTTTATTATGAATTGAGTGCAAGTTTACAGACAAGATCATCAGCTTTATGTTCAACAAATCAGATACTTTGTTTCATCTCAGTGATTGCTGTCCCCTCCATGCAGCAACAACAATGATCTGACATTCCTTCCAGTGCTTTCTGTTTGCATTCCACCCACTGTCTAGTCCTTTCTCAACTTTGTTCTTAGGTAAATGCTGCCTTCTGATTTTGAATGATTGATCATTCCAACAACAATGGTGTTGTTGTCCTCCCTATTAAATTTCTACT